CGAGAGAGGGAACACAAGCAGGGGGAGTGGGAGAGGGAGAAGCAGGTTTCCCGCGGAGCAGGGAGCCCGATGCGGGGCTCGATCCCAGGACCCTGAGACCATGACCTGAGCCGAAGGCAGACGCTTAACGTCTAGGTGCCCCTAGGTTGTGATTTTAAATAGGGAGGTCAGGGAGACCCATTTTGGAGAAAGACTTGAAGGAGCTGAGGCATAAGTCATGGGAATGTCTAAGGGGGGTATCTCAGTGCCAAGGCTCTAGTGTAGAAGTGGGCCAGGAATATTCCAAGAGCAGGAGGAAGAATGAGTAAGGGGAGGGGAGCAGGAAGACAGGGTGGGGGGCTGTAATGGGAGGAAGGGCAGACTTTATGGGCCATTGTAAGGGTTTGGGGCTTTCCTGTAAGTGAGGCAGGAACCACTGGACTGTTTGGGTCAGAGGTGGGAGATGGTCTGTTTGAAGATTTGAAGGGAGCACTTGGTTGCTGCATTAGAAGGAGGGCAAGGTCAGAAGTAGGGAGGTTGACCGTGAGGCCACTGCAGTAAGTGGGTAATAGCTGATGGTGAGAACTGCTTGTTGCTATTCCCTGAGCTGTGCCCAGTTCCTCACTACAAGACTCAGCATCAGGAACAATTCTTACCCAGTCTTGAGAATAGGTCCAAACCTATCACGGTTTTATTAACCCACAGAGCCACCAGATTCAAGTTTGACTGTGGCTCAGCTGCTTATGAGGGGTATCGATCACCCCATATCTGTCAGTAAGATGGACGCATTTGCTTTCCTTATTATTTTAAAGATTGCATTGCATTGCTCTTACATATCTTTATTTTCATCCTGAGCAAAGAGTAATTTATTTTAATAAAAAAATACACGACAGCATTTTTTTTCTCTATTCCTGGTAGAAAGCATAGCTCAAATGTGAGGTCTCACAGGAAAAATTTGGAATATGATTTGATGTTTAGCTGCCTGAGCCTTATTCTTCTACAGCAGCTTTGGAATGACACCATGGCCCTCCTGTTCTAACCACCAGCACACAAAAGCTCACTCTCCACTCTGGAGTCAACCTTTGATCACCTGTCAGGTGTGAGAGTGTGTGTGCAATGAAAAGTGCCATTTCAGTGCCCGATAGATTAAAAACCACCTCCCATTTAGGACTCCCAGCATCTCTTTGCTGGTCTGGAGGCCTGCGCCGTGCCCACTGATGGCGCTTCCCAAGTTGCCCTTTCTTCTCTGAGGCTCTCGTGTGGGGGTGAATGTGAACCTCTCCGCCTTCTTTCCAGAATGGTAACTCAGCCTTACCGAGCAGATTTGCCGCCAGGTCTGGCAGGCAGCTTGAAGTTCCCCACTGTCCTTGGCTTCCTGGGTGGAGGAGCCATCTGACAGACCGCCCCTGTGAACAGGCTGGCAGCAGAACTGGAAGAGAACCTTCCCCTCCCCGTCCGTGACCCCACTTGTGGTCAGGCAGCATGGGGTGCTGTTCTTTGTGGCTCTGCCCTTCCGATACACGCAGAATTCCAAGGCTCCACTTTCTTCCAGTTGGCAAAGCCAGCTCTCTCCTTCTAAGAAAAAAGACGTACTGCGACGTCAAATTGTGCTTCCTGGCCCTTCCCTTTGCAAATGGGGTGTGAGTGAATCAGAGACATATGGGTTACATTTCCCTGGAAAGACACTTTCAAGTTTGAAAGAGAACTTGGCAAAAGGCAGTGGGGGAGGGGGGGCAGCTTCAGCACATCCAGAGCCCTCAGAGCACTTCTCAGAGCTATTCAGCAGCACCACACACCCTCCATCTGCCTTGCGGGTCCTCTGATCTGCCCACCCCAGCACCCAGGCACTGTACACAGCAGATGTGACTCCCAGGCTGACGTCATTCACGTTGCCATGGGGGGTATTTTAATGAGTACCTAATTTTTAAATGATGCCCTCTGAAAAACAGTGGGCTGTAAATGACTTTAAAACCCTCTATGTCTGCATAAAGGAGCATCCCACCAGTAACACTTAACCTGTTAACTTAGAGTTTTGCCAGAGGCTGTACTTAAAAAAGAAAGCTAAACATTTATGACTTGGTATAATGGCCATCCTATGTGGTCCCCTCCAGCCTCAAAGTGTTCCCCTCCCTGGGAAATACATTACATACTCTCTGTTTTATTATGCAGGTGGAATTATGGTGATGACTTTGCCCTCTTCTGCTTGTCCTTTTACTTGTTAAAATTGCTTAAATTTAAACCATTGTTTAATAGGGCCTGCTGCAAGCTTTTCCCCAGCAGCTGGGATCTTAAGGAATGATTGCTCAAGCCCTCTGACATCCTCGCCTGTGGCTGAGGTGGGGCGGGGATCAAAACTCATCCACATCACTCCCAAAGGGGACTCAGAATCCTGCCAGACATGGGACAGAAGGGCTAGTTTGTAAGTTTGGAGGGATGCTAGTGACGTTTATTTTAAACAAGTCTTACTAGAATTCCTGGAATGCAGGACTGTTCCTGGGGAGGTCATGAGGAAAATCCAAGGGACTATTGGTTCTTTTCCAAATACCAACAACCAGACACATCATTCCAACACTGGCCAGTCCTTCAGTTCTCCAACTGGGTGTCCAACGATTCAATTCAGTTCTGACACTAAACACCACCAGAAATTAGTGCAGATCTCATAGGTTAGGGACTCAATCCCACAAGCCTGCCCTCACTTCACACAACAGCCCCAAGTGGAGTCCCCAGGTGACCTGCATTTTTGCCTTCTGGACTGCAAATTTAGAGGGCTCCGGGTTTGATAATTCCTCAAACGACTTCCAGAACTCAGGAAAATTATTCTTACCACCACCAGTTTATTACAAAGGATTCAACTCAGGAACAACCAAATGGAAGAGATACGTGGGGGTGAAAGGGGGGCAAAGAGCCTCCATGCCCCCTTCAGGCATATCACCCTCCCAGCATCTTAATGTGTTCACTAACTCTGAAGCTTCCTGAGCCCCATTATGTAGGGTTTTTTTTTTTTTTTTGAAGGTCCCATTACATAGACCTGCTTGAGTAAATCATTGGCCATTGGTGATTAAACATTCTCAAGCCCCTCACCCATTCCAGGAGTTAGGAGGGGGGAACGGGGCTAAAAGTTATAGCCAAATATGTGGTTGGTTTTTCTGGTGACCCGTCCAGATCCTCAGGTAGTGTAGGCCTCCCCCACAATGAGTTATCTTGTTAGCATACAGAAGACAGTAAATTCCAAGGGTTTGGGAACTCTGTGCCAGGAAGGTGGACAAAAAACAAATATTTGCTTGTTCTATCAGAGGGACAAATTCATGATGGGCCTAAGCCTCTTTCCCTCAAGCAAAGCAGACTGTGGTATGGGGGTAAGAGGAAGCCAGCCCACAAGTCCTGCTCCTCCGGGCCATTAGCATCTTCTTCTGCTCCTCCTCCAAGAAGCAGACAGGCTGGAGCTGGAAACATGGTCTTACCTCCTGAACGAGGCGGTAGATGTTGTGCCCTGGTATGCCTGGTATGTGCGGCAGACGAGGAACACCAAGGAAGCTCCTATTGCTAGGAAAAGTTTACAGACCCTGGGTAAAATAAAAAAACAGAAATGGAAATTTTTCACTCCTACCAATTTAGGAGATTTCAGTTAAAAAAGATCAGGTCTTGCTCGCAGCAAGTGTTATCAGACGCAGAGCTGAATTTTACCCATCAACCTCCACGCGGCCCCTCGGTACAGAACTTCCTTTCTGTTCTGATTTGCACTCAGGAGCTCCCTCTGTGGCCCTTGCTGTCTTTCTGATGCTGGTGCCTGCGTGGAGCTGTGACCTCTTTGCCCTCTCTCTCTCTCTCTCTCTTTCTCTGTTGCCCTGGAGCCACAGCAGTCCCTGGGGGATTTTTCATTTTGCAAAATAATTTGACATTTACAGATAATTTACTCAACCATTTGTTTCCATATAGAGGAAGTCATGCTCGCTGAAGAAAATAAAAATGCCGGGACGTCAGCCTTAGAAGGTAAGGACGTGCTCCCGCACTTGCCTGCTTTTGCGCCCTCTTAGGCTGTGGCCATCTCTTGATCAAAAGAGGAAAAAAAAAAAAAAAACAAGAGGAGTGCCCTGGGATTTGAAATGAAAGTCTCTCTGTCATAAAATTTCTCATGCTTTAAAATGAAGGGAATTGACTCATGGACTTAAGTGCTTTTTAAAGTGATGGAAATGAAATCCAAGAGCTGCTTTGTTCTAGGGTGTATGATTGATAACCGTACAATGAAAAAACCATCACACAACCAGCGGCACGTTAAAGGGATCTTCGGTGAAAATTTGTGGGGATCATCTTGGGACCATTTCATTAGCAGGAGGTGGCGTTGTTTAATAAGAGAACAAACAGATAGGGAGCGCCTGTTTACCTACTGCATGTCGATAAGGTCTAGCAAGGATTCTGGAGCCCGTGTGTTTCGAGGTGCTGCCGAGCACGGGAGTCCTGTTTCTGTAGACACTGGCGACTTCTAGAACCATGGCTCAGGTGCTTCAAGGCGGCTGCCTGTGTCACAGAGGCTTCTGGCACACAGTCCTGAGCTTTGATCAGAACAATCTGGTTGTTCTTGTGTTCTTTCACCGGCCTCCCCCCTTCCCTGGTGTAGTGCTTCGAAGGGCAACCATCAAACGGAGCCGGACGGAGGCCATGACTCGAGACTCCAGTGATGAGCACTGTGTTGACATCTCCTCTGTGGGTGAGTGGAACCAGTTAGATCTTTGAATTGTCTGGGCTCCTGTAAGAAAAAAGATCCTGTCTTTTGAGAAGCACCACGAAGAGAAATAGAACCAAGAGAATCCAGGATTTAGGGATGTAATTAGGGAAGGACTTGGAAATCTAATCTAGAGAAAAATGGACCATGGGGTGTAGGGCTAAGAATCCCACCCAGATTCTTTAAGTGTGACAGATGTATTCCATTTGCATATAAATGCTATCTGTCCTGGAGGTGATATTGAGAACCCACTTTGAGATATTGTTCCGAGGATCCCGAGGACCTGTTGCTTCTAGTGACCCCCATTTGAGGACCTGCAGTCATTTGCTTAACCTTAGTGACACCCACCTACTTCCATGTGATATTTCAACAAATTCCTACTGACAACTCTTAAATGATTGCTCTTCAGTCCCAGGTTCTCTTAGATATGCTGGCTGATGGCAGATTTAACCTCCCCAGAAAAAGGGATGGCAGATTTTTACCTCTTCCCTCACTTCATCCTGAAAAGCAGAAGAGGTATACAGAACTCAGTGCTGCTCTAGGCTGCCCATGGTAGAAATCATCACAAATGTAGCAAAACGATTCCAGTGCCTGAAACATACTTGAAAGGCCAGAGAGAAGCCCAGTCTGTTAAAAACATAAATGCCATCCCATTAGGATTCAGGACACTGGGTATATGTCTGGTGTCGTGCCCAGGGAATCTTTCAGTTTCCTAGAACTGAGAGTGTCCAGAGAGGAAAAGCAGGGATCTCTGCTATGGAAACTACTTCATTCATACCATGGGGATTTCCCTGGGCCTGCAACGTGGGGGTCACCTAACCCCCCAGGACTGAAGCTGTCCACCTCCCCCTTTGACTGCCCCCCTTGCCATGGAGGGTGATTTGTCATGCAGCCTCATTCTTCCTCCTTACTTCTCTCCCCTTACTTAGGCACACCTCTTGCCAGAGCCAGCATCAAAAGTGCAAAGGTCAATGGGGCCTCCTATTTCCGGCACAAAGAAAGGCTTCTGCGCATCTCTATCCGCCACATGGTTAAATCCCAGGTGTTTTACTGGATTGTGTTGAGCCTTGTGGCTCTCAACACTGCCTGCGTGGCCATCGTCCATCACAACCAGCCCCAGTGGCTCACCCATCTCCTCTGTAAGTGGCCAGTGACTGCCGGCCGGCACAGTGCGGCTAGATTCGGGTGTGAACATAAGAGGACGGGCGTCCTCTGGGCCTGGCAATGCTCTGAGGGGGAGGCCAGAGTTGGCCTCTGGGGGTTGGGATAGCACACCACAGGTCCCCTTGTCATTCATTATTGAATCAGATGAATCTTTGCTGATAAGACAACAAAATGGTGTTAGCCTTGGGTACTTTAAGGCCTTCACTTAGTATCTAAGGAGACTCAATGGTGTAGAGAGTTTTGGTCACCTCAGTCCTGGGGAGAAAGTTCTAAGGGCAGTGGTTACTTCCAATAGACCAAGACAGGAACTTATAGGTCAGCTCTGGGTAGGGCCTCCATTGGGGGTAAATGGGGATCCAGGATGCTGTCACACAGCTGGGTGTGTGTAAGGCGAATCTGGCTCTTTCATCAGCACCATGATAAAGCCCTTTCTTTCTCTCCTGAGAGCCATATACCATTTAAAGGCCAGTGACAAACCCATCCATTGAAAGAGAGCAAAGCAGACATGTGGAGTGTGCCTGGGCCCCCCAGGTCAGAGTGTATTCAGATATCATTAGGTTTTGCCTGCCATTGACCTGACGTGGTCACTAAATGTCTTTGCCTTGGGGGTCCTGCTGGTGTTGAGGGCTCCTCCGTAAGGTGAGGGGGTTGGGCTGGGGGGTGTGGGAGCCCATGGCATCTATGGAATAAACACTTCTGCTCTTGATGCTTTCAGACTATGCAGAATTTTTGTTTCTGGGACTGTTCCTCTTGGAGATGTCCCTGAAGATGTATGGCATGGGGCCTCGACTTTATTTTCACTCTTCATTCAACTGTTTTGATTTTGGGGTAAGTGCTCTGGAGCCCGCCTGTCCTCCTGCTTCATGTTGATATGCCTCAGTTTGAGATAAGCAGCTCGCTCCACTGCTCAGCATGAAGCACTGAAATCAGAATTTATAAAAGGGGACTAAGTAAGTGAGCTAAAGGGAGGTCAGGAATGAGGAAATCCTTCCCATACCAGGATTTGTTTGTTTGCTTGTTTAAAGTTCTTTTATTTTTTAATGTTTTTATTGAAGTATAACATGCATACCGTTGTGTACACTTAAGTGTGTAGCAGAATGAATTTGACGGAGCTGCCCATAGCAAGTTTTAACCACTTACTATCTTAGGGGGAAGCCTGAGAGAGAACAAAGGAACTGATTCCAGAAGGTGACTCAGTAAAAATGAGAAGCTTATATACTTGTGTTTTTTTTTTTAGTTCAGTTTAAAATTGGGAAAATTATCTAGATATACCCTCATGCAAAGATGCACACGTGCGCACGCACACACACACATCCAGTCTTAGCAAGTTCCCACATAGTCTATTTCATCCAATGTTCACTTCCTAAATTGTGTTGATATGTAAATGTGTGCATATCTAACAGTCTTCAAGGTGCTCTGACATACATTTTTGCCCTCCACTGCTTTCAGGACTCCTAGCCACTCTATTACATATCAGGAGTTACCTTTCCCATTTGCAGATGAGTAAACAGAGAACATCGTGTGCAAGTTCACATCGCCAATTAGCAACAGAACAAGGTTGCAAAACTTTGGGTTCCTGAACCACTTCTCTTTCTGCCAAACCCATTCTGTTCCTGCCAAATCTTCAGTTAGGTACTAAGGATTTTGAGCACTTGCCAATCTGCGTTTTCACTTGGACCATATGCTTCTGGGTATATGGGCAATTTTCAGGCACAACAGCTAGTGAAAGACCGTTCCCTATATACGTACTTTTCAGCGCTGCAGCGAGGATTAATTTTTGTCACTCCTCCTAGTGTGTTGTGTAGAACATAGTAGACATTCAGTGAACATGTAATTAAAACAAAAACCAAATTGTTAATTTGACATTGCTACTTCCTACAGCAATCAATATCTATATGCCACCAAGTAGTACTGTCCCACTGGGGTGTGTGGGACCTGAGTGACTGAAAGATATTTCACATACGGGTGACTGAACCATTCTTGGTAGCACTAAATTCTAGGACAGTGAGAGAATGTGGACCTCCTCTGAGGTTTTTACATTGGAATGCAACCTGTATTAAATTAAATTTGTTTCCTTGCTTTGAGTACCGCTCTTCCGTGTGTTTGTTCAAGGTGTTATTATGTAAGAACAGCTGTGGCTCTCAGATTTGTGCAGAAGCAGTGACTGGCTCTTGTAGTTTCCACCAAGGACAGAGCAGCAGTGAACCAGTCTCCAGCATGAAGGAGTGACGTCAGGAAGGGGAGTGGAGAGCAGTGGGGAGGGAGGCAGTAGAGTCTCATTTTCCCTTGGCAGCCTTCACAAATAGGTAGTCTTGTTGGAGCTGCACTGGGTGGGGAGGGGAGAGTTTTAATTTCACCATAGCCCAGTGACAGGTGTTGACTGCTGAATGCCAGAAGGCTCCTCTCTTCTCCTCCTCCTCCTCACTGTGGCTGGGTTTGGCTCTTTAGGTCACAGTGGGCAGTATCTTTGAAGTGGTCTGGGCAATCTTCAGACCTGGTACATCTTTTGGAATCAGTGTCTTGCGAGCTCTCCGGCTTCTAAGAATATTTAAAATAACCAAGTAAGTGATCAGAGTCTGGACTCTTCCCAACCACCTGTGAGAGTGGAAGCTTCTCTCTGCCTTAATATATTTCCTTCCATCCCCTGTGCTCCTTTGCCACAGTCCCCTTTCCCTACCACGTCCCCTACTCCATTCTTCAGCTCCTCCTCCAAAAATCAAACCAGAAAAATACCTATGATGCCAGATCCCATGCCACATTCCCCAGGGGAGCCTCATTGTGGCTCACATCTCTCCTTCACACAAGTACACAAATACAGCCTATTTCATAGACTACCAGGCAGATGCCCAGCTAGATTTGGGGATAATTTTACATTCAGTGTTCACTGCTGTAATGTTTGGGTTTTGTAGGTATTGGGCATCTCTGCGAAATTTGGTGGTCTCCTTGATGAGTTCTATGAAGTCTATCATCAGTTTACTCTTCCTCCTCTTCCTCTTCATCGTTGTCTTTGCTCTCCTAGGAATGCAGCTGTTTGGAGGCAGGTAAGCACCAATGAACTTTCCATCCAAAGAGCCTCAAAACCCAGTCTTTAGCCTGTGAGCGCCAGGGTTTCTAATTTGGTCACTGTGCTATCATCCTGTTTGCTTTGGCCCACATCAACCACTGTGTGTGTGTGTGTAAAACTTATGTCTCTGCTTTTAATCTTTTCACACTGTACAGGGTTCTGGGTCTGGAGACCTCTCCTTGAAGCTGTCCCCAAAATGTACACCATGGGGCCTTATAACTCAAGATCAGCCCAAACCCCATCTCATTATCCATACCCTTCAAAGTGCACAGTCCATCAGTAGTAGTCACTAATAATATGATCTTTATAAGGTACATGGAATGAGGAGAAATTAGGGAAGAGGAGGATATGCAGAAAGGGTAAAAGAAGTGATGAAGAAGGAAGGGAAAACTTGGTATGTGGGATTTTCATTTTATTCTTCTCTCTGAACTTCCTTTTCAGGTTTAACTTTAATGATGGGACTCCTTCGGCAAACTTTGACACCTTCCCTGCAGCCATCATGACTGTATTCCAGGTATGAGGCCAACTGGCGGTTAAAAATGTTATGTAGGATCTTTTGAATCCTACACACCAGCAAAATGATATGTTAGGAGAAACCTACTTTTCTGCCCCAGGCTTGTCCCAGGCAACTGGGACTCTGGTTGAGTAATTATAATCACAATAATTCCTAGAATTTCTGTAGCTACATTCTTTTTTTTTTTTTTTTTTTAAAGATTTTATTTATTTATTTGACAGAGAAAGACACAGCGAGAGAGGGAACACAAGCAGGGGGGAGTGGGAGAGGGAGAAGCAGGCTCCCCGCCGAGCAGGGAGCCCGATGCGGGACTCGATCCAGGGACTCCAGGATCATGACCTGAGCCGAAGGCAGTCGCTTAACCAACTGAGCCACCCAGGCGCCCCAACATTCTTACCAATAGAAGAGCTCTATCATAATTACAGTATTGGCCTTTTTCCTATACTTGTGAGTTCACAAGAGATATTAGGGCAAAGACATTCAGTAACTTACAATATTTATGACTACCATCAAGTGGGCTTTATTCCAGGAATGCACGGATGGTTCAGTATCCACAAATCAATCAATGTGATCTACCACATTACCAAAATAAAGGTTAAAAATCATATGATTATTTCAATAGATGCAGAAAAAGCATTTAACAAAATTTAACATTCATTCATGATAAAACTCTCAATGAAGTGGGTATGGAAGGAACCTACCTCAACATAATTAAGGCCATGTATGACAAACCTACAGCTAAATCATACTCAGTGGTGAAAAGCTGAAGGCTTTTTCTCTAAGACTAGGAATAAGACAAGGATGTCTACTTGCACCACTTTTATTCTGCGTAGTGCTGGAAGTCCTAGCCACAGCAATCAGACAAGAAAAAGAAATAAAAGTCATCCAGATTGGTAAGGAAGAAGAAAAACAGTCATACCACATTTATGGTTTTCTGAAATTGGAAGCATCTTCTGACCCATATGTCCATTTAATGAATTATTTTTCCACCCACCCCACCTCTCCCATCCCACAAAAAATATGTTTTTAAATCATGGAGGGAAACTCAAAAGTCAATAATGCTGAGAGCTAAAGAAAACACTATTTAGCTAGAATCTGAGGCTAAACCAGAACCCAGTTTTCTGGAACTGGAACCCATGAGGCTCTTTCTAATAGTGCTGCCATCCCACGAATTGTATCTTAGCTCCCCTGGGATGGACTGGTAGTGACCAGACCACCTGATCTGTGTGATTCCCATAGGCCTGGCAAAGCCGGAAGTGGAGGGAGTCTGTAGTCAGACTCAGAAAAGAATCTTTCCTTGTGATGCTCTCTTTCCATTTTCAATGCCTAAAATTATCATCCTTATCAGAAGGAAGTTTAGAATTATTCATGGAAGTGACTTTATTTTTCTCCTTGGCAGAATAACCAAGCAAGAGGGTAGATGGAAAAGATGGAGGCCAGAATTTTCCTTTTTGCATTGGCCCCATTTTCTCAATCAACCCAAGTCTCTGACTTGCCTATTGTTTGCTTTGCGTAGATCCTAACAGGGGAGGACTGGAATGAGGTGATGTACAATGGGATCCGTTCCCAGGGTGGGGTCAGCTCAGGCATGTGGTCAGCTATCTATTTCATTGTGCTCACCTTGTTTGGAAACTGTATCCTTTTTAAGATACTCCTCTTCATGCTGCCTGCCTGCCTGGACCAGCATTTAAGGAGGGTGGTGGTGGTGATGGTGATGGTAGAGGTGGGTGAGTTTTTTTGGCCAGTGGCGGCGGGGGGGTCAGGGTAGTAGTGGGGTGGATATTGCTTGGTATACTAAGAGAAACAAGGACTCTGATCTTAAGGAACTTGTGTACTAGTTGGATAAAGAAGACAATTATAAACAAGGAGATAGAGTATTATCCAAATCTTCAGCATACAAAATAATAACATGTGAGGCTCTTATACTGAGTAGTTGGAAATACTATCAGCTGGGGAAAATAAGAGATGACAAAGATTACTGCAGACTGAAATAGTGGTCACATTGTAATGTTAATAAATTAATTACATGTTAATATAGAACAGGACCTGCACATAATAAGATCTCAGAAATATCAGTATTATGATTAATGCTAATACTGTTTAGCATAGGTAACATTTATTGTATTTGTGCTATTCATGAGACCCTGTACTAAATGTTTTACAGGCACTATTTCATCTTATCCTTACTTTCTAAGACTTAGAAGAAATAACTTTCAAAGTCAAACAATTATTAAATTGTAAGGGGAGATTGGAAATCAAGTCCATTTAATTCCCAAACCCTTACCTGGTCATAAGACCTAGACTAGGAAGATTTAGGTTTTAATACCAGCAATTCTGCTTACCAGTTGTGTAGCCTTGGGAAAGTCCCTTAATCTGTCTGAGCTTTTAGTTTTCACATCTGTAAGGAGGATAACAACATTGATCCCTTTGTTAGTTGTGAATAGTAAATGAGCTCATTTATTTGGATGCACCTTATGAATGAACTGCAGACTTCTATACAATCACTAGATGTTTGGGGGGGATGGGACTTGCCTTGAAATGGCATTGATGGAGTAAGAAGGGAGAGCTGTGTGATGTAGCTGTACTTTTGCTTTTCCCATAGTCTCACGGAGACAAGATACTCCTTTAACCTTTTTTGCCCTGAAAATTTCTAGGGGCCAGAGCAGACTATGAAACAAACATGAGACACCCATAAGAAGAAAGTTATGCAGTGCGTTACAGAAATGGAAGACCAGTTTGTCACAATGGCACCTTGATTTTCCTGTTGCTCTGAGGGTAGTCAGACCTGGACTTTGATGCTAAAACCAGCTCTATATTCCACAACACCTGGATCTCAAAGAGAGTTGGAAAATTGGGACTTCAGAGGTTAGAGTTTAGAATGGAAATGGGTTCCATAATGATCATGTGTGCTCTGTGACATTTTTGTTAAATGAAATATGGAAGCCTTTTAGGATAAGAAGAATGAGAGAAGTTAGCATTCCATTATTGAGAGCCGCTCAGTGATGGGTCTGTGGGATCCCATTTCTTTTCACCTTTAAGAACAGAGTAGGATCTTGATCTGGGTGGGCTTCAATTCTAGCCTCCCAGAAAGGAGAGGTAAGCTCCTGCATTGAGCTCCCTACTGTCATGTTGTTCCATGATTCTCTATTCAATATTGCTATGAGTGGGGACCATACATGTCTAAAGGCCCCCTTACTCCAACTTGGCCCCTGAGTTATTGGATTCAGCTATCTCTGTGTCCTAGGCAAAGAGAAGCCATGTGGAAGGAAGAAGAGATATTCTTCTTCAGACAGGGCTGCATAACCTCTGCTTAATTGATGCTGTGGGGTAGCTTCTGTTCCTGCTGGATCCCAGGCAGCAAAGACTTCGAGAAACCCTCTCAGTCTTGCTGAAGCCTTTTGGTTTTCTTACTTGCCCATCCTTAACTCATCACCCCAGACACACTGCTGAATGTGTTCTTGGCCATTGCTGTGGACAATCTGGCCAATGCCCAAGAGCTGACCAAGGTAAGCATTCTCTGCAGATCTGATGATTCTCTTGTGCCATTGGGCACTTCATCTAGAGCATGGGAATGATGTATCTGCTTTGCATACCTCACAGGATTATTGTTAGGATCAAGTAAAATAATGTATGTGAAGATCAGAGCAGGCTGAGAAGATGTGTGTTCTTAGTAGCTCTAGTCATTTCACCTGAACTGGCTTTTTCCAGTGTCATCACAAAGAAGGGACACTTACACCAGGAATGTAGGTTAGGGGATGAGGTCCCTGCCTGATCACCTGGGGTAAGGCCACTTCGCTGGGCTGGGGAAAGTGTGTAAGTAGAGGCACAGTCTTAGCATTTTACTTTAGGGCGGGTCTGCCTGGAAGGACCCTGGTCCATCACTTGCAGATACTGCAGAACATCTGAAAGGTGTCAGCTCCAGCTTCTGACCTCCACAGCCATGGGCTCCACCGAGGGCTAGAGCCTGGGGTAGAATTCCATGGCTTTCCTGAGGAATGGTGGGGAAGCCTGTGGGACAGGGTAGAGACCAGAATTACTGGCCATGCCAGGGCTGTGAAGGCTTCTGTCTCCTAAGGTACCTGGCACCTGGCCACCTGAGGCCACCCACCCTCCTACTGCCTTGTTTAACCCTTTTTCCTGCCTTCCTCATTTCACCTGGTCTCCAGAACTTGTGGGGAGAGCCAAGGGAGCTATTATTCTTCATGGGGATACCAGGCAAGGCCATCTCTGCTTTGTGTCTAGGATGAGCAAGAAGAAGAGGAGGCTTTCAACCAGAAACATGCATTGCAGAAGGCCAAGGAGGTCAGCCCGATGTCTGCACCCAACATGCCCTCTATCGAGTGAGTTGGCTGTCCCCACTTCACTGACCCCTGGGCTCCTGTGCTAACAGCCAATTCATCAACTCAAAATGGTATATTATCAGAGGATGCCTACTCCATGCTGGGAAATGTCCTAAGAATACAGCAGTGAGCAAGACAGAGTCTCTGTTCTCATGGAGCTTTTATTTCAGTGAGAGAGATAGATAATTAACACACATAAATAATTTTAGGTGGTGATCACTGCTCTAAGGTAAATAGAACAGGGTAATAATGCAGAAGAATAAGAATTGGGTGGAGTACTTACAGGCAGCCTGGGAGGGATTCTTTGAAGAGGTGGAATTCAAACAGAGATCTATATATGGAGAAGGCAGTCATGTAAAATTACAGAGGAGGAGCATGCTCCAGCGAGGTGCAGTGTGGCTGGTGGGCAGGGAGCAAGGACGAATAGAAGGAGACATGGCCAGGGAGATCCTGGAGGCCCAGGTGCAGCGTTTTAGCTTTTATTCTAATTGCAACCATGGAGGCTCTAAGGCAGAAGGATGGATACTACATGATCTACATTTTTTAAAAAATATATTTTATTTATTTGAAAGAAAGAGAGCATGAGCAGGGGGAGGGGCAGAGGGAGAGAGAGAAGCAGACTCCCCGCTGAGCAGGGAGCCCGACGCGGGGCCTGATCCTAGGACCCCAAGATCATGACCTGAGCTGAAGGCCAACACTTAACCGGCGCCCCCCGCCGCCATGATAAATATTTTAAAAGTTCGCTCTGCTCTATGAAGAATGGATTGTAGGGGCCAAAGGTGGAGGCAGGGAGACAGGGTTGACTATAAGAATAAAGTAGGTGACGGGTAATGGTCGTTGAGACCATGGTAGCAATGGAGGAAATGAGAATCCCATTCAGTCTGTGCTTTGGAGGGAGAACCAATAGGACGAGGTGATGGACTAAATGTGTTGGAGGTGGGGATAAGAAAGAAAAAGAAATATTTCTCCCATGTTTTAAGGTTTGATGCCTAAGCAACTAGGTAGATGGTGGTGGTACTTACTGATAGTTTGGAGAACGGTGGAAATCCAAGGTTCATTTTGGCCACATTAAATTTGAGATACTTAGAGGACATCCAAGTGAAGATGTTGAATAGGCCCTCATTGGTCACATGAGTGTGAAGCTTGGAAGAGAAGTCCAGGTTAGAAATAAAGATTTGGGGGGAGCCATTTGTATTTGGATGGCATTAAATATCAGCATGGGTGAACTGGCACAGAGTTGGTGAGACGGAGTTGCTCAGGATGGAGGCCACAGCACTCCTGTGCCTTGATGTCTGGCAGAGGAGATAGACGGGGAGCAATTAGGAGTAGGAAGAAAGAACAGGGAAGTGCCCTATCCTGGAGACCTAGAGAAGAAAACTCTTCAGGAAGGAGTGAGTGGACAGTGCAGCTAAATACTCTCAAAAGATCACATAAGCTGAGGACAGAAAAGGGACCATTGGATTTGGCAAAACGAACGTTGTTAGTGACCTTCAGTTTCAGCGGCCCGGTTGGAACAGAATCCAGTTAGAGTGGATTAGGGAGAGAATGGAAGGTGAGAGAGGAGAGCAGCGAGTGTAGACTTTAAGGATCTAGCCTGGACCTGTGGTTGCTGGTAGAACTAGCAAGGCGTGGGCCCCGTGTGGAGCTGGAAGAAAGTGTTGGAGGAGGAGCTGAGAATCCCTTTTGTGGCTTCTGAGCCTCGGTGAGGTCTGCGTGGGTGGCCCTGGGGATCGATGGGGAGGCTTTGAGACCCCCGGGAGGTGCGAATCTATCCAGACACCAGACCCTGTCATCCACCACTTGAAGCTGGTCAGGAGGAGCCTTTCTTTGCCAAGTGCTCATGGGAAGGGCTCTGAATGTCCTCTGTCTTGCCCTTTAGAGTCATTCCAGAGTTCTGTGTGGGGCCCTTCTTCCCCTGGACGGTCATCATCTTGCCCTCACCTTTCAAAATGGAAGGCCTGGCCTCTGAGCCCCTTCTCTGTGAGTGAGAAAAAACCGGCCCTCAAACTTTGTTAAGGATTGATGGAGAGAGGTAGAGCAACTCCTTTCTCTCTGGAATACTCTCTGGGCCTTGAGTCGTTCCTTCCCCACCTTCCCTGCACTCATGCGCTTGGGTTAAAAATACACACACACAGGTATGCAAACATGCCGATGGGGAGGGCTGGCTGTCACTTAGGAGTGGGTGGTTCTATTTACTGAGATGAGGAAGCCCGGGGAAGAGTGGGTTTGGAGACGTGAGTTGGGAAGATGCTTGGCCCAGAGTAGAAACTCACTATTTGTGGAATGGAAGAATGAATGAAATGCGGGTAGGCATAGAGCTGTAGGCAGTGAGCTGTGTGCGTGTCTGGGCACGGTGAGGTGGAAGAAGGTGCTACAACCATCCAAGATGAGCAGAGATCCAGCTCTGGTTGCTGGGTGGGTGCTGCTGACGGGAGCGATGTCAGGGTGGGGTGTGTTTCTCCGGAGTGCAGGCAAGACCGCTGATTCCTGGGCTACCGGACAGCCGAGGAGGTGTCTGTCCCTAGAGAAACCTGAAAAGAGCATTGTTACAAATCAGAAGGTCTGAGGGCTGGTTCTGTCACTCCCATGCTCAGTGTCCTTGGAGAGAGAACCACTTAGGATCCTAGAACCTCTGTTGCCCCATCTTTGAAACGGGAAGAATGCTGCTGCCCTTCCTGATCCACAGGGTTAATGTCAGGTGTATGTGAGGTCACACATGCGTGAGTTGGAGAGATGTCGATGCCTCTCTGTGTGATTTTAGGAATGACGGTGTATTGCTGATGGGCTGTGAATTTGGATATGTGTATGTGTGAGTGGAGAAGTGTAGTTTGAAGCGTGTATCTGATTTGTATGGGAATTAAAAGTTGGGTCTGTCTTTGCCTGGCGTGTGTGTGTGTGTGTGTGTGTGTGTGTGTGCGCGCGCGCGCGCGCGTGCGTTCATGAGAAAGAGAATTCTTCCATGTACTTAAACTCTTACACATGTGCTTCTGGAGAGCTGATATTTGAGTATTTGAGAATTTGCAAGTAGATGGTAGCGTCTGCTTTCCCTAGTGGGTGTGCTCGCTGCCTGGCTAGAGTGTGTCCTTCTATTTCTATGTGTTACCCATGCTGCTTGGCAGCGGCACCCCACGTGGGCCTCATTGCATTGCAGCTGCCCCTGCTGAGGGGTGCACACAGTCGGGGAGCTCATAGGCATCTCCGCAGCGATGTCTGCCCCCACTCTGTGGATGCTTGTACACACTGTGCCTCTTCCAGATGCCAAGTGAGGCTCCCACCAGCTGCCGCTCCTCCCCCAGCCCACCCATGTATCAGGCTTCTCTGCGGATGTGGGACATGCCAGTTGAGCAGTGCTATGAGGCCTAGCATGTTCTCCATTGGTCAGGGAGGGAACAACGGTCGCTAAGCATCCCCCAGGTCTAGGCAGGGCCCAGTGGGCCAGACTACGTCTGTCAGCCCAGGACTAGGGGCAAGCCTGCTCCACAGTAGTCCCACGTGTGTTGTCCTTGACCTGAGCATTGACATTGCCCTGAGAGCTTCATTTTTAGGAGTCCCATTTGCCTTTGTGGGTGATGCCCACACCCTACCAGTCTGACCTTCTCTGGACCTTGTAAGCGAAAGGGCACAGCATGTGTGTGTCTGGAGAAAGATTTTTTTTTCCCCCCTGCGCATGGCTGAGAAGGCTGGGACTGCGCTTTACCTGGCTGAACAGATGGAGCCTGGAAGGCCTCTGGCCAGGGTCACTGGGTCGCAGAGCCACAGGGGCGCCGCCCATGTCCTGAAGTCCATGCAGAGCAGCCCACGGCAGGGTGGCCCTGCCCCCAGCCGTGGGCTGCTCTGTGGTTCTGATGGTGTGCATGGCGGAGCAGCTTTCCCGCATGTGTTGCGTGGCTGGAGTGATGAGCTTGGGGGCGGGGGGGTCACACCCATGTGAATGTCCTAGACGTGACTGGGGGGAATACAGCTCTCATCCGAGTTTGTAGGGTTTCCAGAATAGATCCCCGGAGGGCACTTAGGGGCAAGCGTGAGTGCCGGGGGGCATGATGACGGAGCACCCGAAGCTGCGTCCTCTATGATATGAGACCTCCTTTGCGCCTGCATGTGTGCTTCTAGCACCGGGTCCATGTGTCTGCACGTCGTGAGGAATCCAAGGTCACCCCCTGGGCAAGGTGGAGGTTGGGAGCCTCAGAGGGCAGCGGGCATGTGGAGAGCGTGTGGGCACCTAGAGGACTCCGCGCCTCTCCGTGGACACTGGCTGGTGGCTGTGGGGCTTGTGGTTCGGAGCGGCCGGGGTGAACTGAACCTCTTCGTTTTTCTTTCCCAGAAGAGACAGAAGGAGAAGACACCACATGTCGATGTGGGAGCCACGCAGCAGCCACCTGTATGTGTGTACCGGTCTGCGTGTTTGTGAGCGGTCATGTGTGTGCGTGGGGACACCGTGTCTTCGTCCTCACCGCGGACACAGTGGCGCCGGGTGTGCATGTCAGTGTGTGCCGTGGTGTGTGCGTGTGTCCCGTGGACACTCTCCTCTGCACCTCTCCACTTGTGCTCAGTTCAGTGTGTGTCTACAGTACGTGACCCCGTGTGTCGTGCACGCCTCTGTGCGGCCCGCGAGCGGGCACGCGTTGGTGTGGGCACTTCGTGTCGGCGTGTGGGCCTCGCCCGAGGGCCGGCGCGTGGGCCTCCGTGAGGGTGCGTGTGGGCACATGTGCGTGAAAGCAGGGACTGCCCTCCCACCCGCGGGAGCCCACTCCTGGGTGCGTCACGTTGCGTGGGCCTGCCGCCACGTGAGGGCTCGTCTCAGCCCCTGGGCTGGAGCGTTCGGCAGCGGTTTTGAGAAGCAGGGGCCGGCGCTCTCGGCACACACAGTGCCGTGGTCTGTGTCAGCTGTCGTGGAAGAGAGCCACGGCACTCTCGTTTTTGGAGGGCGATGCCAACAAGGGTCTGCTAGTCACCGTCGCCAGGCTTCCTCTCGTCGGACCCGGCCGCTGTACTTCTCAGCCTGTGCTCCCCCCACTGTCTGAGGGGCAGGGGGAGCTGGGGGAGCGGGGGAGCTGGGGGCCCG